TGAGTTAATTAGCAAAGCACATCACTTTTAAAGAAATGGAAGGTTTTTTGTTTCCTCCTGAGTGAATACAGGTTTGAGGCACTTTTTTAAAGTTTCTCCATGTGTAGTGAAAGTATTTTCTTGGGCATAGAGAATGCCACTGTTCCACAGTCCTGCCCACCAGATTTCCCCCCTTTGAGAGTGGTGAAGTATGATCCACTAAGATTTTATACTAAAAAAGTGATTTCAAGGAAATCATGGTTTTTTGAAGACAAACACTTGTCCTGACCTCAGTGGAGTAAAACCTCAAGTTCAATGTTTATGGAGTAATATTTCATTAATATTTCATCTTACAGGTCGTCACAGGAAGGAGTACATTTGAAAGTCTGCAGTCTCAAAAAGATTGGAGGAGTAGGATGTCTGTTTTGCAGTTTGGCTTCCATCCAATGAAATGATTTAAGACAGTACTCTGCCTTCTCTAGATCATTCGTTGCATCTGCCACATGCTGAACTTTCAGCTCTTCACTGCAGATACCTTTGGGACTGACTTGGGCCATGTATGTCCCTGCTCTCCAGGTCATCAGAAATTCTCCTTTGCTTGTGTTTGCATCCTTTGAGGGAGTACTGGCAGTTTTGAACCCTTCTCCATGGATTTATTGGCTCACAGACTGCTGTGGGAGGATACTTCGATTATTGAAAGGGTAGAAGAACCCTGCCATGGGAAGCACATAGGGAGGAATGACCTGTCCTTTGTGCCTCATGGTTAAGTGATAATTTTTCCTGAAGTTTCTCTTTTTTTGTTCATGGGTAGCAGCCTCATGTCATGCCTTTTCTACAGGCCAGTAACTCTAATCCAGTCACCTACAGATGTCCTGTTCACCCTTCTGGGGTATGTTATATGAATTTATCTATGTAATTCTTGGAAGCAGTCTAAGAAGAATAATAATAGATGATCATTGCCATGGGCATTTCCAGGCAGTTTCTAAATAACTGTAAGATCTGTACCTCTAAAATGTTCTTGAAAAATATTTGTTTCAGTGACCCATGGAGTGTCTGGCACCAAAAGCCCATCTGAGCACTCCCAGCCCAGTCAGAGATAAACATCCTGCTTTATGATGTCCCCAGTGGCTAGAATAGTTTGTGTCATTTTGTGGTTGCACTGTTATGATCATGTGCTGTAGCTGTTCTCACCACTTCTTGGAGGTCAGCAGTGCACATCAGGTTTCCTAACAGTTTTGTTTCTTTACATGTATGTCCAGTGATTCATTGTCTTTGGATATTTTAGATGGTGAGGTCCTGGCATGTTTCTGGGGCAGATGGGAAGTGCCATCTTTCTACTAAGGAAAACACAGCAGACAAAGAATTATGTGGGCTTGGGGGTTTCCTTTTACATGACTCTAAGAGAAGGTCAAGGAAGTTTGTGTATCAGCTTGGAATTGTGGATTTTGTTGAAATTTAGAGGAACAAAGTTTTCTTCAGTCTTACAATCTTGCTTTATATGAAAAATAAAAATTCAGGAACAGAAACAGAACTTCTGTTGTGCAGTATATCCTTGTTCATTTTGTTAGATGCAGAAAATTTTCAGCCTTGTGATGGCTCAAATTTGGGTTCATTAACTTCTGCTGAAAACCACACTCCTAGCACAGTTGCCTAGATGAAAACACTTCTGTGTGCCCTGGCAGTAAAAGCTGCAAGCAGGAGACATGGATTTCATGGCAATAGTAGTAGCCTGTGTTCTGCAAGATTGGGTATTGTTACTGAGGAACGTCAGGAGTGCTCAATGCATGTCGGAGTGCGTGGACTGGTCTGCAAGTGCACGTTAGTCAAACAGCATTGTTGTTTGAGCATATTGCCTGTTGCGGTCCCTGCATGCCATCTCCTTTCAGTGCAGATTAAAAGCTAGGGTCTTATTTACTCTCCAGTAGAGTGCATGGCTGAGCTGGTGCACACAACAGCTTCTTAGTTTCTCTTTGAGCTTGAACACAGAAGAATAGAGATTCATGGCTCCCCACCCCCTGCCAGAGTAAATTGGCCTCTCAGAAGCATCTCTTCACCTAGTGGTGTGAGGATAATGCAGCGCTGTGTACAGAAAGAAAAGAGCAGGCTTTCTGATGGGACAGGGCGCGGGGCTTTTCTTTCGGGGGGCATTCAAGTGTGTTAGGCTAAAACAGAAAACAGGTGAAAGAGGCCTACTCCCTGTCATGTGACTTTGGGCTACGTCTCCCTTGCAGCATAGCTGCTTGATCTTAAACCTTGTAGAGTGAATCTTTCTTGTGTTTCTTACAGATGCTTTTGGTGATAAGGTCTTTCGCACACTACAGAGCTCTTTCTGTGACAGTTCCCAGGGAAGAGGCAAAAATGCTGACCCTAGAGAGGCTTCTGGCGGAGTCCTGTACATGAACCCTCACACTTCTGTCTTTTTTTCATTTTGCACTTAGCTCAGGTTGGCCCTGTAGGTCCTTTGGGCCCCAGATCAGCTCAGTCTCACAGAGCACACATAGCCCACCTTTTGGATAGCAAACACTAACATCTCCTAATCCTTTTATGTACCTAGCCTGAGCAGCTCCTGATTGAGCACATCTTGTGAACAATCTAATATCACATGCCTGTTTGTATTTGTATGCATCTGTTTTACACGTATCTATTCATTTGGTCTGTTCTCTTTTGTGCAATGTTAGCACAGCATTTTTCTTTCACATGCAGACATAACTCATTGCATTCGCAACAATGAGCAAAGGCTCCCTGTGAAGGCCTGTACCTGTGACATAAAAGATACTCTTACCACTCCATCAAATTCCAAAGATTAAGGCCCACCTTAAAGAAATTACTTGAGCAGGTTGACTGATTGAAATGAGACTCAACCATGTGCTACAGTAATTTCCTACATACCAGTCTAAATCACTGCTCTGAGCAAGGGAAACTGAAGATCAATGGGGTATAGTGCATTTGATGGTGTGATGTGCACAGCTATTCACTCATGAAATGAGTGAGACTGTAAGCTCTTAAACTTATTAAGACTGTAGATTGCCCTATAGATTGCTTATCTTTATGTCTTGTCCCTTCTTCCTGAAGGACTTGGATTAAGAAAATATGAGTTCAGAGCCTTGGCAGTGCTTTTCACTGCTGAGGATAGGACTCGGCTCATCCAACATTGCCCACATGAGATGGATGCCTAGTCTGAACTTGCAACATACACTGCCCCTATCCTTATCAATAGAGAGGCACTTCTCTAAAAGTCTAAGTTGTCCTACCTCACTCTCACTTACAAGGGGTGGACCACCCTTTGGAAGCACCCCTTTCGCTGCTGTCTTGGAGGCAGGGGAGGATTGAATCCCCTCTCCCCTTCTTTTGCACATACCTCTCCTCTGTGTTAAAGGTGAGAGAGAGCAACTAGGTCTGCCACCTTATATACCTAATGTTGGCCTTCCAGCGGCTAATTTTACTCAATTACAATGTTTAATTACAGTCATTCCTGTTTCCTGCTGCATCAGGTCTTTTTGCTGATATGAGGAATTCTGAGTTAACTGCACCTGGGGCTGAACCTTTTGCAAGCAACAGACACCAACAGTATTAGGTTAGGTCCACAAAATGGTACATTATCTTTACTGTTTCTGAAGTTAGGCTGAGGACCTGGGGGAAAATCCAGTTAGCAGGTGAGAAAATACAGTACCCAATGGGTGTGCACTGCAGTGTTTGGTTAAAAAGTTTCATTTGAGCTAGATCTGTTTGTGTTCTTAGGCTCCTGGGGAAACTTCATCTTGATAAATGTCTATACTGAAATGATACCATCCAACTGTTATGCCTTAAGCCGGTAATTCATGAGCCCTTTGCTGTTGTGGCATAAGAAACTGGAGTTTTGTGTTCCAATTCATTGAGTGCGTTTGGGAATGAAAAAATAATAAAAACTCTTGGGTTTAGTTCCCTGTTAATCTCATTACCATTGGACTTCCCTTTCTATCTCCTTGCTTTTCCTGGCTACTAGAATAATTTTGGTGGTTTTATTGCCACGTATTTATGAAGAATATTAGCCGAAAACAGTTTTTCTGTAGTTATTTATCAGTTTTAGCACGGCTTACATCTACAGAGGCAAGGGACCACACTAATAAGTCATGTGCTCAAGTCTAATTTTAATTAACATATGCTGTTAAATGAACAAATGTTTTCAAGAAAGCTAGATCTATGAGGGACTGTGCAAGGCCTCTGCTGTCCATCTGCTTCTCAGAAGCCTTGTCTGATGAGGTGTTAGAGTGATGGTGGAAATCAGTCAGCGCACAGATCATATAGTCCTTCAGGAATAACTCCTGCACCCTTTGAGTAGTCATTTATTCACTATGATGCCAAACTATGGGCTGACCAGCCACCACATCTGTCTGAAAATGGAGTGGAGACATAAATCACAAAATTAGGGCAGAGCTAGCTAAATCCTTCCAAAACTTTTGTCAACACGACTGAAGTGGAGCTTATGTCCCTGGTAGCTTATACTGAAGGAATGAAAGGGGTTGATCTAAGTCATTGGCTCTCAGAGCTGTTTTCTGTTCTCTGCAGTTGGATGATTCTTAATCATTTAAAAATTGTTAATGATGTTGACCAACATCTCAGGTAGTGCCTTTATGATGCCAGAGGATGTTAAAATGATGTACACACTGTGGCCAGATTCTGGCCTGGTTTGCACCACCACCAGTTGCAGACTCGGTACTACTCCTGAACAGGTGTCTCCCAGCTTCATCTCTTATTGCCCCAAGAAAGCCACGGGGGCCTGATAATGCAACAGCCTGTGGGACCAGAGTAATTTCAGTCACATTTTAATTTTAGAAAGGCATAATGTGGTAATTGAAGTGACCTTGGGAAAGTTCAATCATTCGTTAGAGATCCTGTGTTTCTGGTGCATGCTGGTGGGAAGTGATATAGCACTGCCTGCCCTGAGTGTGGCACACCTCCTGTGATGAGGAAGGACTTTGTTGTTCTTCCCTCTCTTTCCCTGTGCTCGTTGAGTTCTGATGTCATTTTTCTCTCAACTGCAGGTCACTTCATGGGCAACAACACAGTGATTGATGTTTTGAGGAGAGAAGGGTACGAGATAGAACACACTCCAGCTGGACAAGCCATCAACAAGTAACGCATGCTTTTATCTAGCTGAGCAGCCATTGGGAGGGTGGGTTTATAAGCAGTCATGAAGAGGTAGTGGCAGCTGGAACTATACCTAACACTGAGCTGGGATCCCTCTCTCCTCCCCAGCAGTTTGCTTTTATCTTCTATGAGCTAGTTGGGAAACAGGATTTGATTTGGTTTGGGTTTGGTTTTTTTGTGTTTTGTTTGTGTGATTTTTTGGTTCTTTGGGTTTTTTAATAAGTATTTCCCCCCTGTAAGTTTTTAACTCTTAAACTAACAGCCATAGAGTATGCATGCTTGGTTCATCAGATCTGGATGCTGTCTCATACCACATAGGCTTCCAGGCTCCTCCCTCCTTCCTTTTAAGTGTTTGACTGCCCTGCCTTTTAACAGTCTCCTTCTTTTACACTGCTATTTTTGATTCTTTGTGGTTACTCTCTCTCAGCCTGGAACCTGACTGCCCAGAGTCCACCCATCCTCTTTGCAAGCTGTCCCCATAACTGATTGCTCTCATGTCCCCTGCTCTCTTCAGCAATTTTAAGCCAAAGTGCTTGCTGTTGTGAATCATCTTGCAGCTGTTCTTTGGAATATACCCTTACTGCCTCTTTTTATCTCTCACTGGGTGCCTTTATCCATCTCTATGGTTTCAGTAACTACAGAATGCCAACTAATCTCTTCCTCCACACTGCCGAGAATTACATGTGCTCTTGACTCACCTCTTCCTGGACTTCTTGCCACCAGCTTTGGGTCTGCAATCCTTGTTTCCCTCTTCTCCAGACTCTTGCCAAACATGTGCTCTTACGTCTCTCAGATATCCCCATTCTTCCTTACAGTCACTGCTAAAAGACCACAGTGGAAAAAAGGTTTGATCCCAATTATGGTACAGTTTCCCTTTTGTCCTCTATGCCAGGTATGCTGTCCCTCACTGCTTACACCTCTGTTCCTCCTTCCCCACATTTCTGATATGGGGCTCGCAGGCAGGATGATGACCTTCTGTGCAGGGGGCACAGTGCAGAGTCTTGGTCTGTGCCAGGGGCTCCAAAGATGTGGTGCAAAATAATAACAGATGTTTTTCTCCTATATTGGTTGCTTCACCTTTCTCTTTGCACCACTTTTGCGGCCTTTTTCAGTCCATGAGATTCAAACTCTGGCAGGTCATGTTTTTGCTATGATTCTTGACATGGGCATACATCATTAACTATATGTGCACTGAAATAAGCTGAGCCAAGACTCATCCCCATGAGTACATGAATGCAATCCCTAACCCTGTTGCCACCAATGGGCAGGTAGTCTGACATGGAGAAGCCCCCTGTGCTTCAGCATAGGACTTAATGATCCTGTAAACACTTGAGTCATGCTAGACAATCCAGTGTATCCGTATTTACAGGGATAATAAAAAACATGCCTGCACTGATATTTTTGTGTTGATTTCAACCTCCCCCCCTGCCCTGCAGAACATTCTTAGCTTAAGGATTCCTAAAACCAGCCGTAGCAGCTTCTTAAAGCTTAATGAAAGAGAGCTTAATATGTACTTGAGAATAAACAAAATCTGATACTGCTCTTTAAAGGTGTAGCTGTAAGGAAACCAAGGGCAGACAGCTGTGGAAAGGAGGGCTAGATCTTCACCCATCAGGAAGGTAGGTATCAATGATACTATGGGTAGCTGGACATCCAGTTCTCTGACCACATCATGGGAGTTCATTGTCCAGTCAGTGACTCTTGTGCCTTTGAAAGCCCTCAGTTTGGCACTGGTTGCATCTCAAACCTTTCATTAGGACTACTGGACAGAATGTCTTTCCTGGAGTCTTGATTTTAAAGCTGAGTGAAGAAGCTAAAGAAGATAGCACTTCAGTGTTTTCTTTGAGAAAAGGTGCTACCATTTTTGGATGACTTGGAAACATTTAAAAATATGAAACGAGTTTCAAGAAAAATGTGAGTTCTGAAGGAGAAGAGCATTTGAGGTGAGGGAAAGACCTGTGGCAAGAGTATGTCAGAGTCCTGGGGGTTGGATGGAGGGTTTCACTTGATTGGTATCCTGGGCATATTCTAGGAGCAAATACCAGGGCAGTCTGTGTCAATAAATGCAGTCCAGCCCATGTAAATGTGGAACCATATCCAGCTACTGTCCTAGATAGCAGTGCTGCATGCAGTCCAGTCAGTACCTGTGGACTATTTTACAGGACAAAATTGACAGAGGAAAAGACAAGTGGTTGAACTGAGACAGAGCACTCAAATGGCTGTTTTACTGTTGGATACAGTAGGGGGGGTTAGCTGAGCGGTCCTAAAACAAGAGGATGAGGAAGTCTGCAATTGTCTCCTTTCCCTGCAACATGACATTGTGTAGTAGCAGCACATTCTGCTGCTTCCTGTGTTCTGGCTAAACAGAAAGTCCCTTCTGAGGTATGTGTGTGTAGGAACACAGAAAGACAGGGGATCATTATGCATGTTTTCCTGTAACGAGCAAACTGCTGGGTGCAGTCACACAATTTCACCTGCAGACAGGGCTGCCTGAGGTATCCTGCCCATCTGCAGTGTGAATGGGTGAATGCCCATAGTGGAGTATGGAGGCAGGAGGACTCCTTTGTGGTGTCACCAAAGCAAGGAAGGCACAAGAAGGTGCTCCGACTGTGCGTCAGTGCAAAGGACAGTTTATAAATAGTGCCACAAATTCAGTCAAGCTCCTACTGTTTTATTTTGTGCTTTAACTGTTGTTCCTGATTTTAGAATGGATATGTATATTGCAAAATATTAATCATATAATCACAGCTGTAATTAAGGTGCTTCCCGACTCCTCCCTTAGCTGCTGTGCTGGGAGAGGGAACTGGCCTTGGGAAGAAGGACGTGCTTTTGCATTGTGTGCCTTTTCCTGTGGTTGCTTAGTCAGACCCTGGAAGAATTACCTGCAGAAAGTATTGTGAAAGAGGTTATGTATATGAGTGTCTGTTGTTAACAGTGTTCTGAGGCTGCAGGTATCAGAATAAATGGCTGGCCATGCAGGATGGACATCATCCTGGCTGTGCCTATAGCAGTGCTGAGCTCCAGCATGGTATGGCCGTGAGTTTGGTAGGGTAGGCTGCAGGCAGCAGGGCACACTAATCTACAGGGGAGGGCTGGTGCCCACTCTATGACTTTCACAATTAAGGAACAGATACAGTGAAGAGAAATTGGGGAAAAGGAAACCATAAGCAGAGGACCTTCAGAGAGACAAATCAGGACACTGGAGACAACTGGGGAGGGTCACTCTGTAAGGCAGAGTTAAAGAGTGGTGATGTGAATATGTTGTGGAGGAGAGCCAAAGGGTTGTGACACTTCAGAGATGATAAAGTGAGAGTGTGACAATTACAAGGATTTTGAAAGAGTTTGATAGCCCAAAACCCATTCTGCACCAGTCTGTTACATAAAGTTCACCATGTGATCAGTCTGTGATTTTCCTTGCAGGAAATAATATCAAATTCTCTTCATTTTCTATCTACTCTCTTGGTCATGTTCCAGTCCACAACTTCACTTCTCCTTCTCCAGGATGGACCCTCTTTATTGTCCATCAAGGAGATGTGCCCACAGTGATGGGCTAGCTTGAAAACTACAGCCACCCTGAAACACATCTCCTCCTGGACCTCCTCCTTTCGATGCCATTGCAAGGCAGAAGGGAGACACACTATAGTTCTGGGAAGGTTTCACTGATTGAAGCCAGGTTTCTGCACAGTGGTCTGTGGTCTTCTGTTACATTCCCAAATTTCAGCCCAAGCCAGGCTCCAATTTTGCCTTGTTATAGAAGACTACTGCATCTCTTCTCTTTATGAAGTAGCCATAAAGATCAGTCAGATATTTTTGTTGTGCTCTGTGTATCCATAGAGCGGATTGAGTTTGTGAGTTTGTCCCAAGATGTTGATGAACAAGTAAAGAGGGGGAATCTCTTTGTTCCAAACAACGAGAAGTATGGGCCAGCAAAGCCATCAGTGGATAGGAGACTGCAGACTGCCTGCCTTGGGGTATAGATGAGGAGATGTTGCTTGCACTAAGGATAATGAAACAGAGCTTAAGTAATCAGGGTGGAGCTGATTGTTTCTTCAGTGTATCACCTTCGCACTAACCTGGGTAAGCATAGCCCTTAGAGCTTTTTCTGGGGGTTCCACTGAGTGTTCCTTTGGACTTCCAAGATTTGTCTTGTGAGAGAGTTTGTATGTGCACATAGTCTCACTGCAGTATCTCACTTGCTGGAGCTGCTTTGAAATTCCAGATAATGCTGCCAGCCTAATACATGATCTGTGCAGCTAGAAAGCTGAAGGCCTGACTCCTACTCCCTCATTACTTCCTATAAATGTGTGCAAAACTCACTTCTGTGTCGTGGGAGAGCTGCAGTTGCTTAGCCTCCTCCTATCCATGTGGACTTCCATACTTGTCTGATACAATCCTTTAAAACCATTTCATGCTCCTTGGTGTCCTTATCTGAGTGGCAGGACAGCATTATGTCCTTTTGCAAATCAGCATGAAGATAGTAAATGCTTACACTAGAAGTCAATGCCACAATAGTGAGCTGAGCACTGGTCTCTTATGTGTCAGACACGTCCCCTGACCTGATGTTTTATAAAGGCTATGCATTCACTGCTCTGTACCATCTGGCTTCATGAAAGAGAAAATGAGCTGACAGTGAACTTGGCACTGCCACAGCTAGTCTGCTTCTAGTTCCTGCAGACTAGATGGCCCAAAGGGTTGCTTAATGGTATATTGAGCCATTCCCTTCAAAGACAATAATTTGGAAGATCCATTTCTGCAGCCATGACCACAGTCTGTGGGCCTTATTACTTACCTTCTCCACCAGTGACAGTTGTTGATCTAGGACTGGTTCCTTCAGCTAGTTTGCCTTAGTTATCCTGTCCCTGCCCCTTCCCCCTGCTCCCCAGGTTAGTTGGCGCTGGGCGGGTATTGCTGAAAGGAATAATCCAGTCTGTTCTGCAGTGCATCAGGCTAGAGAAGTATGGTTTGACCTCCTCTGACTTTGAAAGTGATTCCTTTTTTGTCTCTGTCTAGTCATGCAAAGTTATTCCCAAGAGTTATTCCACTCTGGGCCAGACTGCATTCTTACCTCAGTTTCAGATTACCTCTTTTCCAAAGCTTTTTTCATTAAAGAGAACTATTTTGATCAGAATATTGACTTAAGGAAGGGGGGGCAGGAATGCAAGTCAGAGAAATAAGCGTCCAGCCAATGTGCCAGGGAGAAACACCTGTTTTATGTGTCTTAATAGTATCTGTACCAGGATTCTGCCTCAAAGCCCTTTCAAAAATTTCTGTTTTCCCTCCTTCTTCCAGCAGAACCCCCCCCAAAACCTTGTTAGCCTTTTCATCGTCATCACCGGCACACAGCCTGTATGTTGCATCCCAGGAACTCCCACTGCCATTGCACCCCCAGGAGGAAGAGGAGGAGGAGGAGGAGGAGGAGGAGGAGGAAGAGGAGCTCCTGCCTCACCTGCTGCTCCCTGACAGCGTTGATGTACTGGAGAAGATAGACAGGAAGTACAAAAAGAAGAAGAAGCAGCAGAAGAAGCAAAGACTGCGACAGTTTAACGACCTCTGGGTTCGCCTTGAAGAAAGGTAGCTAATGGCTGGGAAGGGAGGAGGGTTTGTCATGCAAACTGGACTTTAATTTAGACTGATTAATCCAAGTATGCGAGACTTCTGCAGGGGCTAGATATATGCTGAGGGCAGGATCTGACCTTCTCCCTCACTGTGATTCTTGATGAAACATTTACTCAAGGCTGCTAGTGACAAAATAGCTGCTTCTGCATGGTTAGGTTTGTGGAAAATTAGGCATAACACAAGTGGAAGCCTTGTCTAGACCATTTTGCATTTGGGCTTGAAGGACTGTGAGCATATGGTAGTCCTCTTTATCACAGAAGGCTGGGTCCAGTGGTAGATGGTACAGATCAAAGCCTTGGACCTTTATCCAAGAGCTGCTGTGTATGTGGAAACTGTCATATCTGGCATATGTGCTCCTTGCATTTGGACAGTATTGATACAGTATTTCCAGTCTCTCTATTCTTGCATATGAGCCCCATGGCATTACTGGAGATCTGGAAAGTGGGATGGAAAACTAATGGATGATGGAGTTAATATAAAAAATGGAGTGTGTTGTGGGGCAAGGGTTCACACATACCACCTAGTTTCATCCAGAAGGGCTTACTCACCTACAAGAACTACAGCAGCCTGCGAAGAAAAAAAGCCAACTTCTTCCTCACTAGCTATACTTAGGCTTGTGGCTGAATGTGTACCTTAATGTTTCCCTCCTGTCAGATAACACACAGACCCAAGTCTGCTCTCTTTTGTACTTTGTGTCTCTGTTTGCATCTCTGCCATACTCAGGTTGAAAGCATTTTATTTTTGTGGCACTGTAAATAACTAGACAGGTCAGGATGATGCAGAAAAGCCTGTAGCTCCTGAAATGAAGCCTGTATATTCTTTTTTTTTTCCCTCTGAAGAATATTTCTTCCTGCTCCTCAAGGTCCTGAGTATATCAGTGTTCTCCTATGCCTCTCCTATCACATCCCTTGGCCCCAGCTGTACCACTGCTTTCCATTGCTCAGGCTGGCTGCAAGTGGCTGCAGCAGTTGTTGTTCTGTTCCATTCAGCCATTGTCAGACTTTTTAGACCAGAGTCCTTTTCCTCTTTTGTAGAGTAGTTTTGTGCCTTCTCTCTGGTCCTTCTTCCAACCTAAATGTGACTACTTTGGAGAGAAAGGGAGACAAATGCACATGGCGGTTTGCATGCCCCCTGACAGACCTACACACAGTCCAAGATTCATCAGTACAACAAATCCTCATATTGATCACATTTGATTTTGTTTTTTATTGTATCATTTACTTTCTATTAATGCAGTTGATACTAGCTGCTTGTAAATAGTTTTTTGGAGCTTCTGTTGACAGCCCGATTAGTTGAAACCCTAAGGAATGATCTGGGGTCTTTTTGATCTCAAGCTCCCACCCTGCCTACACACTGCCATGTTCAGTTTTCACACGCAGTTGTTCCCATGAATCTCAGGGAAGTCAACGGGTGCCCTGATGTGAGATACGCATACACTTGCAGCATCAGTGCCTTCAGAAGGAGAGGGAAGATGGAAGGATGTGCTACTGTGCCTAAATTGGATGTACATTAGGGCTACATACTGGATTGCAAGTACTGCAAGGCAATAGTGAGGTAAAAGCAAAGCTGATGATGACAGCTTTGGAAACTACTGCATAAATACGGAAGCAGCAAATGCCTCCTTTCCTTTTCTTCTTTTGTAATGTTTCCTTTCTTCCCCTACTAATTAAGTCATCCTTTGTGCTAGAAACTTACCCAGGTGCTAGGTGACAAATTCTTTTTAGAGGTGAGACCTTAGCAGCAGAGAGCTTGAACGTCTGGAGATGAAGCCGTTGCGTGATAGAACTGGGAAAGACAAGTGATGCTTATTGCTGCCTGGGAGACTGCTGCACCCTTACTGCAAAGGGAAAGCCGCGAGTGTCAGAGAGGCAGCTGTCATTCACGCACAGCCCCGGCCCGTGCTCTGGGTTTAGTCTTTGTAAAGCCAGGGGAATCGCCACCCTCTCTGCCCCACCACCCGCGTGTGCAAGCAGCCTGTGCCGCAAAGGGCTGCCCGGGCAGGCGTGGGCTGAGCTGACAGCCCCACCTCGTGGCACAGCCGAGATGTGTCCCCACGGAAATCCAGACCCTCCCGGCTCAAGCTCGCACGTGGGCAGGGCACGTCTCACTGCGAGTCTCAGCCCTTGCTATAAGCGTTCCCCGGGGTGCCCAGGCACAGGTAAAGCTGTCGCGTTTCTTATGCGTGGGCCATTCACAGCTTTCCTCCTGTGAGCCTGGAAATGTGAAAAGCGCAGCTCAAGTGATTTAATACAGTCTTGTAGTGGGCTTGGCAGAATTGCTTTGGTTCGTGCTCCTGTATGCATCAGCTGTCAGCTGTATTTCTTTGATGTGCTGCCAGCTGGCTTCTCTCCAGTTACTGTTCAAACCTTCTGTGGGGGCCTTTTGGGTATGGAAGGGTAAGTGTTTTTAAAAAGGGTACTAATTGCCTTCAATTTCCCAAAGCATTTTTGCTTAATGCAGCTGACCAAAATAAGGCGAGAATGGTGCACAGCAGCTGGGGAGTGGGTGCAGAAGAAATGACTCTCCTTTTGTGTTTGGCAGGTAGACTTGCTTTTAATTTGTCCAGATTTGTCTTCTGGTTCCACACAGCACCATGAGGCCCTGGGGTGTATGTCAGCCTTAAAGCTGTGGGGTCAAGAATGGCTTTCAATCCATTGCTGAAGAGAACAACACCTGTGTAGTATCAGCCCTTCTGACTATTGACCTGCCATGGTGTGGGAGCTCCCCCAGTTGACAGTTGGTGTCAGCAGCCTGGAGCATTCAAATTTCTTTCCTCCATCACCTTGCCATAATGGGAGTTCGGCATCATGTAGGCTCTGACTCAGTTCTTGTGAATCACCACCTTGGAGTCCTCACTGCCACTGGGAGATACTCTGGGATGTGATGATGTTTTCCCAGTGACTCTAGGATGTGTTTCTGGAAGTGGCTCTCTCCTTAAAGCATGTAATGTAAATCTTTTGTAATTCCTGATCTGTGGAAGGGAACATACAGTATTGGAACAAGTTTGGTCCACACTAAGATGCATGTACAGAAGCATGACTGGGGAAGATGGATTCAGCTGAAAGCAGGTACCTCACTCCTGCTGTGCTCAGCAAGTGTCGCTGCAGGGACACTCGTCTGTAACAAAACTTATTTTGTTCTTCTTAACGTATTTTCTGCTTAGCTGAAATGCGCTAGGAATACGGTCACCTTATCCACCTGACTGACTGTGTGGGAGCAATGGGCAGGCTGGCTGGGTAGACCTGAGTACAGGGCAGGTGTTTTGGTGCTGTCTCCACCCTCCTCAATCTCTTCTCTGTTCCTGCTCAAGACTGCTTTGCAGTTCAGTTGGGCAGCGCCCTCGTCCGTGTGGGCTCGTGTAGGAGCTGCCCATACTTGTGAGGAAGGGTCAAGTCAGCGCTTTGCCAGGAGACACAGTCCTTTGGTGAGTGTGGAACCAGTATAAGAGACCGTTGCCAGGAGCCCAGAAGACTGACAGTGGGGCACAGAGGCTGACCACCTCCTGGTCTGCGGGCATCAGACAGTTCTGGGCTGGGTCTGGACTGACGTTCTTCTCTTGCCTTGCAGTGCTACTGACCCTCCTCCCCGGATCCGCATCATTAACGGCTACATCACGGTCGAACCCCAGCCCCGGGGCCATGGACGGTCTAGTCACTCTCGTGCAGACACCGGCAGCGCTCACCAGCTTTCACATTCTCTCTTCCTCCCGCTACTGATTTTGACTTTCCATATGATAAGACTGCATTGAAACATAGGGGGAGCCAAGCTGCAGGGCTCTCACCTTAAAAAGCAAAAAAGAAACTTATGTGAAAAAACAAAAATAGAAGACTCTGAGTGGGACACCTGTTCTTTGGGGTGTTCTTAAACTGCCTCCTTTTCCTGAATCTGGATCATTAACACTATTAACTGGTTTGACCTGCCCAATACAGGAGAAGATATTTTAATGAAAGTGTTATTTATCCTTCTCTTGCAGAAGAATGATTTCATGTTGTCCCATAATGCTTTGGGGAGATTATAATGTCGCTATAACATAGCTGTTGTTTAGCTGTATGAGCCCAGCTAAATTACATTTTTTTCACCTTCAGTGGCTTGTAAGAAGATTTACACACCACTAACTTGTTTATTAGAACAGAATATTTTGGTCACATGAGCACAGCTGGGAAAGAGAGGTTGGTATTTTAGGTCTCTACTGGTAATGCTTTTAATTCTTGCTTGTTAGGGCTCCAGATTACATATAAAGCTTAATGACAACACCTTCTACAATAGAATAAAACAGTAAAGACTTGTGAACAGAATGTTTCTGCCGTCTGTTTGGTGCTGTTGTAAGATGGGTACACCTGAACCTCCAAAGGCCAGACATGTCTTGGAGCAAAAAAAAAATTGCCTGGGGAGCTTCACAATCATACTGTTGGATGCTTCCAAGTTCTCAAAAGGCGATTTGAGAAACTGGGATGCAGGTTTTCTGTCTCTTTTTAAATCATGAATATAATTGTTATTTTATAGCTGGATTCACTTTTGGGGAGAAAGGGCTTTCTTTTCCTTTTCTGCACAGTTAGACTTCATTATAGGAAATCCCTACAAGTTTTCCACTGATTTCAATGGAAATTCTCAGACCTTCCAAATTGTTTTAAGCCCTTCGCTGTCAAAATGGACATGCTGTTGACTGTTGGATGTAAGAAGCTTGGAAGTCATGATGAATGGTTTTCTGTATTTGTATACAGGACATCCTCTTGTGATCATACTGACTCAAATTTTGTCAGCAACATTCCCTCCTTCATGTTATGGGGGTTTCATTGCCTGGGAAGGTCTCATAAGATTCATCCATGGGAGGATGTGGAGCCAATGTGCTGAGCCTGGTACCTTGGAAACACAGCAGTCACCTGCCCCAGTGAGACAACAAACCCTCAGGCTTCCCTTCCTGTGCATGTGCTTCACTACTTTTTTCATTGCCTATATAAAGTACCTCTTTTTCTCATCCTTCTTCTGCACATTGGAGGAGGAGCAAATGGTTCTAGCTTTCCTAACAGGCTTTTCATCTCTTAATCTCAAATTTCAGGCCCCCTTCAGAAGGACTGAACCTGAACAAAGCCTCTGTTTGCTGAGGAAAACAGAGAAAGGAGAGGCTAAATGTTGAAGTTTGCAGCAGCACTGCGGGGAATGAAATATGTCTGGGCTGGGGTAGAAGATGGCACTGTCTCATTGTATATTCCTTCTTACAGGGAATACTATAAGACCTCAGGGTCCCAAATGCATTCTGGCTTCCTTGGCTTTATACAGCAGCCAGGCTGGTGATGCGCTCTCCCCTGTCTCTCTCCCTGGTTGATCTTTCACTGGTGTAAATTGTCATAGACCTGGTGGGTCCGGAGCTATTTTCCTTGGCCTGAATATGACCTGAGGGGAGCAGACTGGATGGGGGATAGCTTAGTTAAAAAGATGCATTGCAAGCCTGACAAACTGAGCACATAACTTGTGTATTTACATCTGAGGGGGCCACCAAAAACACAACGTCAGAGTGTGTTCTGCCACGTGCTAGCCTATGCATTGGTATTGCTTGTCCTCTCCCCATCCTCTGTCCTTCAGAAGTGCATGATGAGGTGTGTGGCACAGGTCCAGAGCGCTCTGGAAGCACTGGGAGAAGGGGCTGAGGCCGAGCTTCCATCTCTTTTCTCCATTACAAGACAAAGGCTGCTGTGTAAGATACACCCAGGCTGACTTTTCCCATTGTTCCCTCCTCTGTGCTTGCTCCTGAGCTTTGTCTCTTTGAGGGGAGCTGAGTCGAGTGGAACAGCCACCAACGTTTTTCTTAGGTTGGCATGAGGGAAGAGTAATTATACAACACTCAGGAACAACAGAGACCTGAAGTAGCACTATGGATAATTCAGTTCTGGTGATGTAACTCACTTTGTAGCCTGTTTCCAAGTGCCTGACTGTGTCAGGGAAATAAAGATGTCCTTAAATGGTGGTGAATTATGTGCCTACAGAGGCTGCATCCTGGGAGTCTTTCTGCGAAGTAATCAAATTCTTTCAAGGCACTTTTAAGGGTCTCATGGGCTTGGCTTGATACCTGTGAACTAAACTAGTGGCTCATACTCCTCACTTTTTCCTCCACACCAGTCATTGCTGACTGGCCATGGGACACTGAAATCTTGAAACTGTGACTGGCATGGAGAGCAGAGCCTTACTCCAGCTGCATGTGCTACTCAGCTGTTTACAGTGACCACTGGGGAGTGCTACGTTTGGGTCCAGTTGTTTCTCCCTAGTTCCACAACAAGAAAAGTTTGCCAAAATTGGAACAGCCTGAGGAGCCATCTTAATGGCCAAGGTCTGCTCAGGTACCTCCCTTCTCTGGGCCACAGAGCATCAGGAAAGCAAGCATTCCCATCATGTGCCTGGAAGACTTCACTGTCCCTCTAGCTGTCTTTCCAAGAATCTGACGTAGCTTTTGTTGCCTTGCAATTGAGATTCAGTCAGGCTTGTGATGAGTAGCAGACTTCATCAGAAATCAATGTGAAGGAGCAGGTATTTCTTTTCTTTCAGTGCAGGGGCTGAAATCTGCTGCTGTCTCCTGAGCTAGGTGCTTTCACATCCTGTAAGTGCTATAATAAAGTGTTCTTTCTTTTATCTGAACAACCTGGTCTCCCTTTTCCATTCTCTTTTCTTTGTACTTACTAATTAGCCTGTGCATTTTGCTGTTCCTCTCCTTGCTTAAATTGTTTTCATCTGTTTTGAGATGATTGAGACTCTTGCCATGGGTTCTTTGTGGTCAAGATTTCTTTCTCTGTTGGGAGGCTGTTATTTGCAAAGTTATTAGCAGAAATCAAAAACCTACCCACTTAAAAATGTTTGTTTTTGTCAAAAAAACCCCCCCCCCCCGATTAACTTGTAGTGTTGGAGAACATAGGTTATAACCATCACTGATGTTCAGCAGTGTATTGTGAATTCTTGTGAATATTTGTTGCTTGACTATGCTTAGCTAATGGACTATTGTGTTATGACATATATGCTTTTTAATTATTATAAAACTTCACATTTATGTATATAGCTAGGAAAAACAGGCAGACAAACATCCTCCTTGGGCAAAGGGCTTGCTCATAATTTCCTGTTTCTTGAGGTAGTCAGCACTTGCACTTTATTTCTACTTGCTGATGAAATGGACCAGGTGTTAGACACCATTTATTTTGAACTTCCAGCTACCTCCTGCAATTTCACAGCTTTTCCTTTCTGCTGGTGGTCGCTTTTAACACATTGAAGTTTTATTTTCTGATATGATATTTGATTAGCAACTTGGATTTCTTGTGAAGCATTGCAGGAGGCATGAGTTCACTCAATGTGCTTTCATACACAGTAATGTGCTCTTACCTGACACAGCTTTTCTGTGAACTGTGAATGCCCCTTAGTGAGCTGGCAATCCAGTGCTGGTTTACTTATAACCTTTTTAGATTAGGATGTGAAAAATACAATTACTGAAAGAAAAAAAAATTCTTGTTCTTCAGATAGGGTCTAAAAATGTACACATCCCTCCTAAGCAAAAATTGTAACAATGTGAGAGGGGATGCATAAAATGTGTGGATTACCTCACTCCAACCTCTGACACGCCTTAAGGACGTCCCCATGCTTGTGTTATCTTAAAGGTGCAGTAGCATAAAAGAACACAGAATAATGCAAAAAACCTTGCTCAGTGATCCACTTTTCTTTCTTCTCACTTTGAAACTTTGGAAAGAGGGTGTTTTTTCAGCTTTTAACCATTCATATAGCGAAATTATACTGATAGATCAGAGGGAAAAAAGTGCAGGAGTTACAGAAGGCAGGTAAATAAATAGAAATGAAGAAATCTAAGCATTTGGTTTCTCTTTTTTCTCCTTTTGTAGCCTCTGCAACAAGGCTTCAGGGGAAAATACAGTGCTCTTCAACTGGGGAAAAAAGAGCCAGGCACTAGAAGAGCAGACCCCTCTCTTCAAACACCAGGGTAGTCTTGTGGCTGGTCTGTTCTCTTCCTGGTGGAGTTGAAGCTCCAATTACTCCATTAGTAAGATAACAGGCTGGTATAGTTCAGTAGGTTGTTATGGTCCCTTTTGATCAGCTATTTAAAACACTGTGACACAGCCAGCGTGTAGAAATCAGGCTGAAATCTCTTACTTAAGATAACCAAGGAATGTGCTTTAGAAGATGTATTTCTCCAGCGGCTTGCTGTCTAGAAAATCTGGACGAAACATGTCATTTACCCTTTATCACAAAAAATAAAATCTAAGCCTTGAAAATTAATAAAAGAAAGGGTGATCTTGTTATAGCCATTGTGAAACTGATTACCATTTTCTACCATTCTACTCTGCTTCATCCAGACTGCTATCCTGTAACCACCAATGAATGCACATGAGGTTTATTCAGGTCAGGTCTCATGCTGAATTTAATTTACCTTTCAAGATCACAGTTACCCCTGTTACAGCACAGGTTTGTCGTTATTGAGAAGACTGTATGTATCAGTAAAGGCTGAAAAAAGTCCCTATCACAATGTATTAACATTCCTGCCTGCAAGCAGGCCTCAGCTAGACTGAGTGTGTTAAACAGAATAAAATAAGAAACACACTGCATTGCTGGGTGTTTCAGGTGCTTCAAAATGGTAACAGTCATCCAGCATTTATACTCTGAAGACTGCTCAGAAGATACCTATGGTCTAGGCAAAGAATTCAGGCTCCTGCCTTTGGTCCCCTGAATCTTTCTGAGGTGTGTGTGTTTCCATATGGGTATTTC